ATCATCTGGGTGAAAACGCGAGAATACTGCTCTTGGAGTTGTACAACAAATCCTGGCAAGATGGGGTGCTCCCAACAAGCTGGAAGATAAATCGTCTAGTTCCACTACTGAAGTCAGGCAAGTCACCCTTGGAGCTATCATCCTACCGTCCGATCATATTGGCGAGTTGTGTAGGCAAAGTTATGAAAAGAAAGATCCTGGGACGCCTGGAGTGGTACTTGGAGTGCAAAAACATCTACCGAGATGCTATGGCGAGAATTCGACGTGGCCGATCATCGATTGACAACGTAGTCGACTTGGTAACTTAAGTTCAACACGAGCAAAGCTGTAAGCATCTCTGCGCATCTTTGTTCTTAGACGTCAAGTGGCGTATGAAAACGTCAAGCATGAAGCAGTCCTCACCGCTCTCGAAGATGTAGGAGTAGGTGATCGGATGTGTCACTAAATACGTAGTTATCTGTCAATGCGATCCTTCTTTTTGAGCACTGAAGACGGTCAAACCTCTGCACATTACAGTCACCGTGGCATCACCCAGGGTGGCGTACTCAGCCCTGTGCTGCTCACTCTCACGCTAATTGCTCTCACTGAAAATCTGCCAAGCACAGTCAGGCTATCAATGTGCGCAGATGATATCTGCGTTTGGGCATCGGCTGTAACACGCCTGCAGAAGCAAGCGAGAATTCAAAAAGCCACCACCAAAACATTTCGTTACCTCCGAAATCTAGACTTGGAAATTTATTCTGAGAAATGCGCCCTCATAGCTTTTACACGCAAGCCTATCAATAAGTACAACATAAGCATGAATGGTCCAACTGCACCATACGCTCGATCGCGCAAGTTTTTGGGCGTCAAAATTGAGAAGAATCAATCTTGGAGCGAAGTCTTTTTCCCGTCCGTGTTTTGTATACCGCTAGATCTTGGAGCGATCATGTCTCCTACATGAAAAAACAGTTAATAGACGTCTGTAATCTACTAAAGTTTTGTGCAGTGAAGACTTGAGAAATGTCACCCAGTGCAATGTTACAGCGGTACAGGGTACTTTTTCTCAGTTTCCTGTGGTACAGCTTACCAGCATTGACCAATGTAAGCAAAACAACCCTACAAACGTTACAGAGTTTTCAGGCCCAGGCACTCTGGATTTGTCTAGGATTGCCTTGTAGTGCGTCGACAATTGTTTTTATAGCAATCAGAACTGAACGGGACGATTAAGCTACCCGCTCTGACCATACTGAAAGCAATCAAATATCAATTCCGCTCTCCAGAACTGACGCTGCACGGAGACTCCGCATGCTGGCTCCCGAGCACACCACGTCGCGATGAAGCGAGTCTCTGTTCACTCACGCATGATTGTGTACCTTAGACCCAACCCTCAGTCTTCGAAGTCCTCCAAAACTTCACCGACGAGATGCAACAATGCTGATCAGGTTATGGTTGGGTGTCGCATTTAGTAATGCGTACGCGTCCCGCATAGAAATCGTCGACACTGCTGCATGTGTCTATTACGGCAGTGACAAAACAACTTGACATATTTTGTGCGAATGCCCTCAATACTGCTCGCAGAGACAGTCACTCTGCAATGCACTAGACTAACTGGTAAACCAGATTCTTTCGAAAGAAACAATCATGTGCTACCGACAGGACTTTATGTCACAGAAGAAGGCTGTGAAGGCGCTCTATCACTTTTTGCGTTCATCAGGCCACTCTAAACAACTGTGAATAGAATGCCCTGCATTTATGTGCATGTGAATTTTTTTCGTTGTTTGTTTTATATCTCTCTATTGCTACCCTCATTTCAACCTTTATTTCCCCACCCCTGTACAGAGTAGCAAACCAGTTATTCATCGTTAATCTCTTGGTCTCATCCTTTTATTCCTCTCTCTCTCTCTCTATGTACAGAGTACATTACGCCAGTGTACACTGTTTCACTTGTACAAGGAGGGCACGCATTACTGAACAAAGATGCACATGTCACTTTTGTCTTTTTTCCATTGATGCTTATTGTGTGGGACAGCCACTGTTCAACTATATATAGCCTTACGCTCATTTTTGACCCTTTCAGACGCGCATTATGATGCCATTATGAGAAACGTGGGAAGTTCGCGTGGCACAATTTCAGGGCACTCAGTATTACATTTGAAGAAAGAAAATAAATGAATGTGCACAAGTTTCACTATTTACGATAAAAAGTGTGAAATATAGTATTATGTTACCAGCCAGCTTAAATACTTGCATGAAAAGAATTAACTAGTAGCCTCAAAATGCATCCACAATTTGTTTTTTTGGCTGCATTCGTTTCGCACGCGGGAAACATACTTTTCACGTTGGTCCTAGACCACTGCACGTCGAATGATAATAAAACAAGGCAGTGTCTACAACAAAGTGTTATCTAGAGCAATACGGATCACAATAAGACTATATAACGGCTAGTTCTCTTCTCAACATGCTCGCATGAATGTGCACACTGTGTTTCAAGCCATCTCTAAAAACAGGGGGCCTGTGACGTCCCAGTGAAGCTTGTGCTCACAAATGTGGACGCCGTGACTCAAAGAGTTAATGAATGTGAGAAAAATAACACTAAAACTTTTCAAACATGCATTACGTTTTTAATGTTAACTGAACTGCCATTGGCAACTTCTTCGATAGACGTTCTTGAAAAAATGTAACACAATTTGTTCACTGTTACACAAGCTTTTCTTTACTAATTTAATCTGCAAAAACCATAATATGGTGAGGCACCTTGTAGAAGAAAGGAATCATTCTCGCGCAAAAGATGAAAAAGAGGCAACTCCGCTGCCAGAAGAACACTTGAAACGCATACATTGCTGGCCACTTCAAATCAGTGAACTCGTGGTACGAGCCACTCACTCAAAAACCATTAGTCCAATCGTCAGCCCTTTTTGGTATAGTCGTAGATGAGAAATCAGGGTGAATTTGCCATACGTGGAATTCTTTAGCGTGCACCCAATGGTAACAACACTAGTGTTCTTTGCCCTAAATGAAAAGTGGCCGGAAATCTAAACGGTGTCATCGAGCTTAGCATCGCGACCGCTTGCATGCTAAGCTACCTTCAGACTTCAGCTTTTACTTGAGAGAGCTTCTAACTGCTTCAGCTGTAAGTGCAAGTGAAGCGAGTCGTAGTGTTGATATATTTGATGCCATTGGAAATAGAAGGCTCTAATATTGAACAGGTTTGCCGGCTGAGAAGCGTTCTACCAAAAATTATTTAGAGCGCTTCTCTTACGCGGCCTCCTGCGTTGAGTGCCGTTGCCGTTGTCGAATTGCGTCGTCGATGCAACCGATACAACTAACAAGGACAAAAATGAAATATTCTGTACTATGTCACTATAATGACTCACTTGCCTCTAACCTCGCTTTTTTCCACTATCATGCACTCACCATGGCTGGCTTCTGTAACGGTGCTGCTGGCGTTTTGGTTGATTCGCAATGACGGCACCGCACTAAGTAGTGTGTGTAGCTCTTGATTGTTGACAGTTTCTGTGGAAATACAAAACGAATGTTACATTGCTTCCACTGCTGATAGCCGAAAGTTTAAATATATGCAGTTTAGATTGCCACAAGACGAAACTGGGCTCAAAATTGGCATTAGGCAGTATTATATTCTTATGTTAATTTTTTCATCATTGTACACAAATTTGGCTTTCAGTCTCCACTTGGTTCTGTTTATTAATATTTCAACTTACCATGATCGCCAGAACCATTTTCGCAGACAATTGACGGTCTCCAAGTCAATAACTGCGAACAGGATTCTAATTCAAAAACTTCCGTTACTTTTTAATGCAACGGTATATACCTATATCACGAATATTCATTGAGTGTTCTACCAAATTCAACATTCCTTATTCTATAGTTTACCCTCTTTAGCTCATAAGCTAAATCAAATTTACGACCAAACTATTTGTTCATATACTGTGTAAAGCATTGCGTTATGGGTCAGTGAATAATCGGATGCGAAACTTTATTGTTAGTCCTGCGGTGCACGACTCAACGTGCAATGGGCCGCTTCCACGTTCGGACAGCCAGGCCCAGCTCAACCGTCGCATCGTGGGGCCCCTGGACAGCCCACACTTGATCCCCGACATCAAGGATCTTCATAGCGGATAGCGACATGTCTTAATTCGATTCGTTCATGCACGGTAATGAGAGGCAATTTCAGAGTACGTGGTCTAGGATAGAGAACGTATTGCATTGCGTGCAGGAGCTATTGGGGTAAATATCAAGGAAAATTTTATGCAATAAATCCAGGCTGGCATACGAACCCGTCTGCAGTAGCCTGAAAGTCAATGCCTGCGCTTGATTTTTGAACTTCTTGTTAGGAAGGGGAAAGTCTATCTTGCCGAGATAAACATGATGTGTAATTTTGTTTTAAGGGGCCGAGTTATCTCTGTTCTCTGCAACTGCTGGCTGGCAGGGGAGTTCTCTATGGTCGCGGAAAACGAGACTTCGCGCCTTGCATTGCACCAGCTCGTTCAGGTTTGTGGGGCCTGCCCTGGTATACATTTTATGTGAGCGGGGACCCACGTGTGAGGGCTGGTAGTGATGACTATGCCCTCTAATATGCGAAAGGCTTCCTTGCACATGGTGCCAACGCTGAAGGCGTGGATGGCTGCCCTGGAGTCGCTGAATATATGTTCATGTTTGTCATGCGGAAGGGCCATAGTAATGGCCCTTGCTCGGCCGCACGTGGCGACGTGCACATTTTTTTGGTAACGTTCTTTGTTCTCGTTACCCAGTAACAACATACAAGATAGTGTGTTTTCTAGAGAAACTGTCAGAGGTGCCACGGCTACGTCGCTTTAGCACGTGTGTTCACTCGTGGATCTCGGCTAACAGAAGGTCTAGTATATTGTTACCTGCAGCGCACATCAGCATTTCGAAACCTTCCATTATAATTTATTTTCCTTTCTTTTTGATGAAAGCGAAGAATAAAGGCTATCCGCAGCTAGCGCCATACATTTCTCTCTCTCTCTTCCTGTGGGCAGAGAGGACACTGTCTCAGGACTGCCGAACGCCTTGCCTGAAAAACCCGGCAGCATTGGAACACGTTTCTACTTGAGCTCTCGCCGAAGCCGGGAGCCACGTCTCTTGGGAGAGTCGGCCTTCAACGCTTCGAAGCCAGTCAAGCTCATCATCCATGGTTTTGGCAGTAGTGGCAAGCGCTCCTGGGTACACCGCATGGTGGACGCGTTGCTCGTCGCTGTAAGTTTAACGCGCTAGATTGCTCTCCATTTGTGGATGTGAAGATTATTTCACAATGTACGCAAGCCGTCATGCCAATCTACAATCACTTTTTTATATATTACAACTGCTGGTGTTCATTATTGTTCATGGGTTGGGCAATGATCCGTATACGGCCAACCGGTAGACTTGCCAACGACATCTTGTGAACATGCTTGCAATGTACAAGAGTAGCGTAATCTTTATTTTTTTTCACTTTTGTGCAGTATGTGAGCAAGTGCGGATGAGCGCTTAAGTTTCCGAGCTCTTTTGTGATTCATAAACACATGTATGACTTTGCCGTATTTTCATCAATACAAATACAAAAACTGTTGACCGAAAATGCTATAGTGCAGCACCCTTATGTTAGTACACGCTGTATCAACTTTTTGCGTTAGGAGCTTGGGTTCTTGGAAGGCGACACTCTGAGTAGTCATGAACCATTATATGCGGATTGCGAGGAGCTAGGGTTTCGGCCTGGTGGGTGACATTCTCACGTCTTTTCGTATTTTTTTCACGTTATAACCATGTCTTCTATTTTGTGTAACGCTTTATTAGTATGACGTGCTTGTAACTGTCCGTTCCTTGCTCTTGTTTCGGCTACCTGCTCAATTTTCTCAAATCATAAAGCACGAACTAGCGTGATGAGAGATTTTGCTAAGTTATATTTGTTAAGAATGTTCACGGCGAATGACAGTGGAAATGTGCCCCAGATTATCGTTTCGTTCTTGAGAGCTTTCTGTCTGTGACACGTGCCATGCGCAGGGTGACGTGAACGTCGTAGTGGTGGATTGGGAGAAAGGGGCCACTCTGCCCAACTACGTCCAGGCGGCCGCTAACTCACGCCTCGTGGGACGCCAGGTGGCACAAGTGGTGCGGCGGCTCTTCCACCTCGGGGCGAAACCACGTGACTTTCACCTGGTCGGATTCTCCCTGGGCGCCCACGTAGCTGGCTTCGCGGGCGCCGAGCTCAGGAACCTATCGCGCATCACCGGTGGGTAGCGGTACTTCAACTGCTGATGTGATTTGATGCAATATTTTAACGATGAGTACATAAGAGACACCAAAGTGGTGGCTGGCGTAACGACCACCCTCAGTATAGTTTGCGTGATATTCGCGAAAGAATACTGCGAGATTCAGGGAACGCAATTGGTAGAGAATTACAAAGAGTTGGGATCAAAACACTACTTTCATGATTCATTCGTTGCTCTAATGGTCTTTGTTTCTTTCAGCTTGCCTTCATGCTGTAGTGTGCTTCATTCGCTCTTTATTAATGTTCCATGCGTCTAATTTTCATTGAACTTACTTTAATGCGCAATGAAAGTCTGACATCACCTGCAAGCTTTCGACCATCACGTCTGAAGGACGCATTCGCTAATCAAACGGGTGATTTAATATTGAGATCTGTATCGCAGCCAGCGCGTAGAGTTCACCAGGGAGTACAAAGATCGTATCAAATAATCATATTACACAGTTCGCACAGACAAAAATGTACGTCACCAAAATGGCCGCAACGAATAAACGTAGCCCATGCTAAAGCACGGCGCTTGCAAAATTGCGTTTATTTTTAAGAAACACCGGCTAATGGTCGGTAACTTTTTAAACTAACCTTTCCGCAAATGACATTGGCAAGATTACGGATAAATCTGAATTCATAACTTATGCGGTCGACATTAGCCTTTCTTGACAGGTATAAATGTCAAAACCTAATTATAAATACGTTAAAACCTTAAGCTGATCGATTGTATGGTTGGCGCTTTGTTCAGTACAATTCAGTGCAAGTAAAAAGTTGATATAATACAGAAGAAGGTCCCAAAGTAAAAAAATGTCAGGGGGACCTCCTGTGAATTCATGTATAAAAATATAGAACAAAGATTGGCAGCTAAGGAAAAAAACAGCAAGCGAATATAACAATATGAACGTAATGAAAATTATTATTGAAACTTATGGTAGTTCAAGATATTTACATGTAAGTGGTAAAACAAGAGGTAACTAACTGGATTAAATGACTAACATAACACATACATATCACTAATTAATACAGTATACAGTGTCACTTCAGAACCTATACACGTACACATAAATGCATATAACCGTATTTAAACACACACACACACACACACACATATATATATATATATATATATATATATATATATATATATGCAGGTGTCACATGTCACATGTTTTTAGTAAGAACTGTTTTAGATGTCGCCGAAAACAATGTAATGAGGGGCTTGATTTATTAATTGATAGTGGAAAGCTCCAGAAAGAAATTGCAGAAAACAAGGCTGTCATTTTGCCGTACTTAGTGCTTACTTTTGGAAGCAGAAGGTTACTATTTTCAGAAAACCGTGTGTTATTAGTATTGTGGAGATGGGTGAGGCGAAGTATGTCAGTGGGAATGTCACCGACTCTACTTCTGAATAATAAAATTCCAAGTTTGAGTTGAAAGGTGCAAATGAACGGTAGAATTTCGAGAGTGCTAAAGAGGGGTGCTGCTGATGCTGTGTAGGAACTATGTGTGATAATCCGGACTGCTCTTTTCTGAAGGTGAATGAGAGATGTTAGGTGTGTGGCGTAGGTATTGGCCCAGGTTGAAATGCAGTAGGTGAGGTGACTGTTAATGAAAGCATAGTGAAGTGATTTTAAAATGTGTTGCTGAAAACAATGCCTTGTGCAAACGAGTATGCGGATGCCAAAAGCAGTCTTCTTGATGACAGATTTCACGTGAATGTTATATTTGAGTGGAGGGTCTAATGTGACATCTAGAAAAGTAGTGAACTTTGATGGGGTGATGACGCAGTTATCAATGTATATTTCGGGTGAAATCGTAACGCTTTTTTGGGACGAGTGAAATAACATAAAAGTTGTTTTAACAGGGTTGATTTTCAATAAGTTACTTTTACACCATGAAACAAGTTTCACGACAGTGTTTAATTTTGCTAGTAGATTGTTAACATCTTTGTGACAAGAAAATATCGTAGTATCGTCAGCATAAAAGGTGCAGTTAGATGAGTTAAGTGATGATGGTAAGTCGTTAATCTAGATAAGAAACATGAGAGGTCCCAGAATTGAGCCTTGTGGGACACCCTGGTAAGGTATCATTGGTGAGGATAAAACACCGTCATAATTGACAACCTGGGTTTTGTTAGCGAGGTAGCTTCGTAAAAGGGCTAAAGTAGGCCCACAGATTCCCAAGGAATTAAGTTTAGCATACAAAATAGAGTGGTTTATAGTGTCGAAGGCTTTAGTTAAATCTATAAATAACGCCCCTGCCCAGAGCCCCTTATCGATGGACTGTTTTATGCTATCTGTTTGTTTAATCAGTGCTTATTCAGTAGAAAACTTAGCACGAAAACCAAACGGCTTATATGACAAACGGTTAAATATTGTTAGGTAGTCCATTAGGCGATTCACAATGAGCTTCTCAATTACCGTACTAAAGAATGGGAGGATTGTTAGAGGGCGATAATTAGAAAAAACTTTTCGGTCTCCCTTTTTGCATACAGGTATTACTTTTCCTTGTTTGAGGATTGTAGGAAACATGCCTGAACGAAATGCGGTGTTAATAAGCTCTGAGAGCACAGAAGATAACTCACGAGCAACAAGTTTGATTTTAGCTGAATAAATTGAATCGAGGCTACATCCTGTCGTCTTCAAACTTGTTATAGTGCAAAGAACCTCAGAAGGTGACGTGGGTTTTAAGAAAAAAGAGCGAGGCAAGTAAGACAACTAAAGCAAGTTAGTGACAGTCGATACTGAGTTGCTGAAAAATGATTCATTAAAAGAATTAGCGATAGGGACAGGGCAAGTTGAGTACAATATAAGTAGTCATTAATGCAGCGAAAGATTAAGCGGTAGTATTTCACTCATAAAGACAAATTTCTTCAGAAAATAGTCTAGGTATAGGTAGCGTGGCCATTGTAGATTCTAAAGAGTATAAAGGCTACAAATATTTTTAAATGCACATTGTCGTGGGCCCATCAGATTATTATCTTCATTACTAACGTTTCAAAAATTGTGAGCATACTTGCGCGAATGCGTTACTTTCTTTCAGTTTTTTTCATACTAACACTTTATAACTTCTTCTTTTTGTCTCCGGAAAATATTGACTTTCGTTAGGGGCCAGCGTAGCAACAACGGACACAAAGTATATAGACTGCAAAAAGAAAGCTCTCACGTATATAGCAAATTTCGTCTACTATGCACACACTGTAGAACATATTTAGCGCTTTTATAATGTTTCAATTCACTAAGTTTATGAGTATTCACTAGTTACAAGTTATGACGAATTTCATTTTCATAACAACTGAGCATTTTTATAGATATCTTTGTACTCGAAACACAAGCTACTTTGGACCCTACTCGTCACTAACACCACATAAACATTCAATTCCGTCGAACAAACTTTGGGTGACAAATGCTGCGTTTTACTGTTGCTGTGTTATGAAATAATTTACTGCCGGGAACAATAACAATTGAACCATACAGTGCACGTGATGATAGGCAATTGCTTTTTATAAAAAAATGGAATATATAATCATTCAGGCGTTAGTGGAACTATCACTATATATTGTATTTGGTTTTAATGCGTATCTTAACCAACTCTTTGCAATTTAGGAAGTGGGAGGGCTGTTCATGTGCTTTATAATTTGTGTGTATAACAATATCGTTCATGTATATAACATTTTGGGTTCCGGTATGTTTTGCATACTACTTTTGAATTTGTGCAGTAAGAAACTACTCAAGTATACAGCTGACCCCAATTATAACAATACTCAGTGCCATGGCGATTTCATTGATATAACTGATTAGTGCAACAAATGCATTGCCAAAACAAAAAGCAACTTAGAGACTGGCTGGCTGTTGCTATAACACTAGCATATCGGATGAGATATGGCAATAAACTTGGGAGTGATGAGGATGACAAAGCTGCCAACTTTTACAGCAAAAGCTGTTATGAGATCACAACTCGGGTCACGCGCAGTTGTCAGTCACCACATCGGGCGAAATTAGAAAAAAATACTAGCACCAATGTCACAGGGGGCTCGAACCAGGGTCCACTGGTTGCCAGCATAGCATTCTGCCACTGAGCCACACTGGTACTTGGAACTTGATGGGAAACTTGCCTTAGGCAGGCTTGATGTCGGGAAAGAAATCGCATTAATACGACTTATAAAGCTCTTTAAAACAGCGAAAGAACAAGTCATCGCACAATGCGAATAGCGTAATGAGTGGGTAGTCCAATTCCCCAACCCATCACAAAAGCTTGTTCTTGTTCCCCAATCAACTGTGGCACATACCCATTTCAGGCATAACTTCTCATCGTCCTCAGCCACTGCACGAACAATTGGCACAAGATTTCCTGCAAGTGTTTAGTGGATACCACGCTTCTCTAAAAAATGACGAAAATCATCATAGCGAATGCTGGCCTACTAAGATAAAGTTGAGTATTAATGCCATAGTTGGTATCATGCGAGTGTGCTTGCAGTAGTTACCCAATGAGTATTTTGAAAAGGCTCTGAAAGGCCGCTCATAATCGGCCAATTCCTTCTACTGGGTACAAGCCATGTGCAGATAACAACAACAACAACAACAACAAGAACAACAACAACAACAACAGCAACAACAACAACAACAACAACAACAACAACAACAACAACAAGGCCGCTCTTCTAGCTTTCACTGTGACTGTGATGCGCCTTCCGCGCAGGCCTGGCGTTTTCAGACAAGCTCGAAAATTCTGACACTTTCACATGACCGCATCAAGATATGTAGAGCCAAAGTATTACAGTTCCAAAAAGTGAAATTTTATCAACTGTGCTAACTGTGGACCATTCCAAGGCGAAATGCCATATACGACAACCCAGCAATTTGAATCTATGAGTGACATTGATATTTTGGCTAGTGCTGTGTGCACTGTTCTTGAACGACTTCAACCAAACTCGGCTCCGGGACCGGATGTCATTTATAATCACGTATTGAAGAGGT